TTCTCATTCCAAGGGAAACATTTCTTGTGTATTTTTAAACAAGATAATTTTGCTTTGTATCATTAGCATTTATATGGCAGGTTGATACATAGTGGCAAATTTCAGCATTTTTTGGCTTGTTTTTCATCATTTTTTGCAGTGTGGTTTTACTACATATGAATCCTCCAACATGAATCTTATCCAGACAAATAAAACTGTAAAAGCCAACAAAGCAGTAACTAAAATGAATATTCTTCCCCGCGTCAATTTCATAAGCTCAATGATACCCTTCTCACCTACAAAGGGATACTGGGAAAAGTTGCATTTATTAGCTGCAAACTTTATCTGGAGCAATAAAAAACATAGAGTCAAATTATCAAATTTGCAAAAAAATAAAAATAATGGAGGGCTTAATGTCCCAAATTTCAAATGGTACCACTGGTCTTTTGTTCTTCGCCCCCTGAGTCAGTGGTTAAATCCATCCTCAATGGCCTCTTGGAGACCCTTAGAGAAGCAACTTGTGCTTCCTCATAGACTCCAAGACTTTTTGTTCGCAAATACTTCTTCAAATGATTCTTCAAAGCATGGCTCAATAATTGGTGAAATGATAAAAATTTGGAATAGCATTAGCAAACTCTGCAATATCCAGGAGAAATGGTTCTCTCATTCTCCAATTTTTCATAATCCTCTGCTTACTATTGGAGGTATCCCAATTTCTTTCTCTCAATGGTCCAGTAGAGGAGTACATGTTTTGCGGGATATTTGCAACTCTTCTGGTCTTTTAGCATTTCAAGATTTACAAAAACTATACAGTTTGCAGGGATCAACATTTTTCTTCTACCTTCAACTGCGGACAGCAATGCGCACTTATGGGGTCCCATGGAACAGTTCTCCGCCTACCCATTCAATCCATTCAATGTTAATGAAAACATATAGATCAGTCTCTAAATTATATTCTCTATTGCAATTAGCTGAAGATGAGCCTATTCGTGCTGTCCGATCGTGGAAAGAAGATCTTTTGGACCCATCAATGGCTAATTGGCAAACTATTTGGCTGAATATGCAACTGTCCTCAAGAAATCCTAATCATCGGGTCATTCATTTTAACTTTATACACAGGACATATTTCACTCCAAGTACTTTATTCAAGATGAAGGCACTTGCCTCTCCTAACTGTACACTTTGCAATCACAATACACTAGGGACCTTTCTCCATATGGTTTGGGATTGCCCAGAGGTTAAAAGTTTCTGGATATCTGTCTGTAAACTATTATCCGATTTGTTATTGAAGGATATCCCCTGCACTCCTGAAGTTTTACTTCTCAATGACAGCTCCACTCTCGGGTTTAATATAATGGAAAAACGTGTATGGTTGGCTGGTCTTACAGCAGCTAAGCGTATACTTGCCTGCAGATGGAAGACACCACAGTTTGTCAACACGAGAAAATGGCTTAGAGACTTTGTTGATATTGTAAAACTAGAACAATGGGTCTCACAAATGCATCATGCAAAACCAACTAACATACAATACTGGGACAAAGTACTTTCCACCATTATCCAAGCACTGAGTAAATTGGTGTAGGGCTTCTCATGGCAGAAGGAATAACTTATTGCTACCTGGATATCGATGACTAACATACTGCATAAGGTCTGGGCCGGGGTGGTTGGGGGGTTTTGGGGGGGCGGGAGGTTCGGGTCCTAGGGGGCGGGTGGTAGGGGGTGGGGGGATGAGGTTTGCCTTGCTCCCTTTTGTTTCTCTCTGTTGTCATTGTTTACACACTAATTAATCTCCTTCCCAGTACTGTTCTATTAAATTGTACGTATTCAAGCTACTAAAAGCTTCAATAGGTGGTATTCTAACACTTCTTGGAAAATGTATGGTTATTTTTTATTATTTATTATTTTATTATTATTTTTTTTTTTTCATTATTATTTCAATTTGTTTTTATTTTGTTTTTATTTGTTTGTATTTTTTGTTTTGTTATTTTTTTTGTTTTGTGTATTTTTTATTTTTTTTTTCTCTTTTCTGTTTTTTGATGGGTTTTTTTGTGTGTGTGAGCTGTACTCATCCCTGCACTCTCCTTGAAAATAATAATAAAAAATTGATCACAAAAAAAAAAAAGCCAACAAAGCAGCGAATCACAGCGGCAAGACTCAAACGTATATCCATGTGTGCCAAAATGCCTGTGTGCTACTGCTGTATCATCTGGATCTCACGGTTTAGGGGAAATAAGTGCATACAGAAGAGTGGGTGTGTCCCAGTGGTGGTGACAGTCGGAGCAACGAGGGCTTGAATACGGGGAAAAAGATCCCTCAGGAACCACTCTAAACTTTCAGAGCATGAATGAGAGGAGGGATATGAATTAGAAGTGTTTAGAAGCCAAACCAGCACAATCTGTCACTTTAAAACACAGTCACCAATTAGGACATGTGTCTCATTCCTTCCAGTGACCTGTGGCTCATTTGTGGACACATAGTTCTGCTCTGGTTCACTGCTAAGACAACATTCTGTTTTGGAAAGCACACCCAAATCTGAGTTTATACCCAGGTCCCGGACAGATAACAACAAATAACATTCAAAACTAGGACTCCCCGAATTCTGAAATCATTGTGTTCTGAGAAATCCCCGCAAAGAATGTTTAGTTTTTCACCAGATTCAATAAAAAGGAAGACATTTTAATACGAAATACAGGCAATAAAGGCTGAAATGGGCTTGTTCACACTAAAGGCTAAAGGGTACAAAAGTGTCACAAAAGGCCAAAAATTACATTTTATATATTACGTTTTTTATTTATCCAAATCCCTCCTCTGTCCAGTATTAGTTTCTAAAAGATAACTGTTTTATACATTAATCAAGTTTACTTTAGCGGCTCTGTTTATTTGTGTAACGGACCTGATGCTTTGATAGAATGAGCTGTGGAAGTTTGTTACGTATTTTCAGATCCACATTTGATTGATAGAGTATTTTTATTTACACAGAGTAGAAACAAAGTTTAGATTATTTTCTTATAGTAAAACAGTTATACAGTACCTTGCAAAATTATTCACCCCCCTTGGCATTTTGTGTGTTTTATCTGGAATTGATAATTTTTTTTACACAGAGTAGAAAAAAAGTTTAGATTATTTTCTTATGTAAAACAGTTATATTTGATACCAGACAATCTTTTTTTTTTAAAGGTTTAAATGACGGAAACCATCACGTCCGTCACACATTTTTCAAGGGTCATTTAAATTTGTATTGATAATTTTTTTAATGATTATGTCACAGTAGAATGATCCAATCAGAGGCTGATTTAGTTGTTTAAAATTTCGCCAGAAATCTTGTTGACAATCTTTTCTTTTGATTTTATCCACACCATGTCTTTGATATGTCTGTGTTTGAAAGCTTTTTTCTTATCTTCGATAGTAATTTTAGTGTTCGAGTTATACACTTTTAAAGTCCAGATACTTTCATTGACACTTGAACACACCCAAATGCTAACTTATGAAACACTGCGTTACTATGGAAACTAGCACTAGATATTCTCTGGTGAAAAATGAGTTAAAGGAAGAACCACTCATGTTCCAAAAGAAAAAGATAATTTCATTAAAAAAAACCTAAAGCTAGAGAAAAGAGTCCAGACTGCTCTGTGAGTTCTAGTGTTAAAACAACTAATTACACAATGTGGATATCTGAGAAACGTACAATCATCCGCACTTTTGACCTCTCTGAAAGTGCCTCCCCAAAAAGCCAAAGGGAACGGGGCCAAGATGTAGAATTCCAGCCTCAATGGAAAGACTTATAGATGACTTTCCCGTCAGTGAGAACAGTGGGACATTCAGCACAGAGACAGTAGCAGCGCACACAGACAAGAGAAATACCACTTCTAAGACTTCAGTGATGGGTGTGGGACCATCCTTCTGTACTCATAACACAAATATAAGACCTTAAACCTGGACGCCTCTGTGGGGAAAGTCATAAATCAACATGTTTGGAGGTAAATCTGAGAGACTAATCCTGTTTTTACAGTGTTGGAGACAAGAGCGACGTTAAGTGCTTTTACACAATAACAAGAGTGGACTGAAAGATGGAGACCACTTCAACCGTTTCTTTTCTGGTTCTGTTTGATCAGGGCCGGGCAAAGAAATGTGGCCTTTTAGAAATTATTTTGAATGTTTTATAAATGGAACTGATTTTTATCTGTTCGTTCAAACCACATACTGCAATAAAGAAACAACAAGAAAACACCTATTTTAGCTGCATTGATCATAATGTTTATTCGACAGCTGCTTACAGATCTAAGGTTGATTTGAACGATGGAAATTGAATAAATTTGAATAACCTTTAAGCAAAAAAAATGGAAAAAATAAAATACTAAATATGTTTGCTCACTGTGTCTTATATGTATATTCATGTAACACTTTTCTGTCCATGCAATAAGAGGCGGAGACCCCTAAAAAGGTTGAAGGTTTTCCTTTAAAATGGCCGCATACACTTCATACTGTAGTTGCCATTGCATAAACTTTATCATTAACTGGACAGTAACTATAGATGTTATAACTATAATGATGATTGACAAACCTCACTGCAAAAAGTGATGAAAATGATGTCAAAAATTGCTCAAATTTGCCAAAAATGTATCTTAATTTGAGCACATTCTGACCACCTTAAAACACGATCCATCCATCCATTTTCTTCCGCCTAATCCATGTCTGGGTCGGCAACTTAGCTACTGTCACCACTCTTAAAACAAGATATTTAGTGTTTTTCCAAGAACTGTAGCTTTATTTTCTCATTCCAAGGGAGACCTTTCTTGTATGATTTTAAAACAAGATCATGTTGTTTGTCCCATTGGCAAATCTTGTTTTAAGGCAGCAAAAAAAGTGTTCAAATTAAGATACATTTTGCCAAATTTGAGCAACCTCTGACTTATTTTCCATCACATTTTGCAGTGTAAAACAGGGCTTGGCTTTCTTCTTGTCATGTTAATATCCAAAACTTGCCACACATAAATGTTGCCATAAACAAGAGGAGTCCTCACCCCTCTCCTGGGACATTCCTGTGGAGAAGTCCATTCCTCTGCTTAATCTCTCCGTCCGTCCATCTTATCGGCTGAAACGACAGTAAAACAGCTCTTTAGAAACCAAAGACCCGAGAGTGCTGGTCAGACTAATGAGGAATTCAATATCAAAGTGGGGCAAAGTCATAAGTTATTAGTCATGCAGAAGACGTGGCCTAAAATGATCTTTCAAACAAGACAGAGGCAAATACTCAGGATCACTTTGAACTAAAGCGACGGTTTTTCAACAATGTCACAGATGGATCTTAAAGTGAAAATGTTCATATTTTAATCTTATTCTAAAGTTTTACTCTTGGGGGAAGACTGAAACTTGAGTGCTTTCAAGACAAGAATTTAATGGATATAACAGTATATATTCATAACACAGCTTGAGCAAATGTGTATTTATTTTGGTGTTTAAAAATAGTAAAGAAACTAGTCTATTTTCATTTAGAATAAGAACAAGAGCAATTTCTCACTTGAGGTAAAATCCATTCAAATCGTGGATACCTATATTGTAACCCACAAATATTGAAATATGCAATTTAAAAAATCAAAGTATTTTTGCTATCCTGACACTGTAGTCAATGGTTTTCAGATACATGCCTTTTTTGGCCTCTGTCTCATTCTTAGATCAGCTTTTCCAGACCGCCCTCACTCAGCCAATCAGCTCTCAGCCCAAAACGACAAATAGAGACTCACAGGGATTTTTCTTACAATCAAAAAATATGTTTTCTCTGTGAAGATGAAGACGACAGAATGTGGTCTGAACACGAGACAAACACACGTGTCATTCCGTTTTATGTCTTTGATTCTGTATGTTTTGTTTGTGCCTTTAGTTTTGTTCTGCCTTTGAAATAAAAAAAAGTGAAAGTTAGGTACAAAATGGTCATTTTTGTATATTGCTGTGTGCCTGAAAATGCAAAATAGCCTTTTTTCGATTTTCGATTTCCTTTCAAAAATAGAAAATGTATTGAACGCAAAAGTACACGGACCCCTCAGATTTAATTCAAACACTTTTTTTGTTTTGACATTTGCAGTGTATTTGTGTACTCAAACTTTTGGCAATTGAGACAATTGATCTTACACGTCTCATTCTAAGCATTATTACTAAATATTTCAGATAATCAGTCTTTTATTGATTAAATCTATCCTTTATTCTGCACAATTCTAAAACAAAAAAAGTATTATCATTTTTTAAGGAAACAGTTCTCATCTCAAATCCAACTGTACAATACACAAATACAACTAAAGTTTTGTGTCTTAGTCCTTTTTTCCTAATATCAAGAATAAACTAAAAACAAGCAAAAATCTAGTTTTGGGGTTTTGTCAGTCATATTTTTCTGTGTTTTAAGAGTACTTACATCTCATTTTTGTGCTTGGAATAAGATATTTTTTCTTGTTTTATAGATTTTTAAACCTAGATATTTGTTTAAAATTTCATATGTAAAAATCACGTACCCCACTGGCAGATTATTTCACTTTTTATTTGTACTTTTTCACGTACAATGAGAGTATTTTTCTAGTTTTGAGGCTACATTTGCAGTGAAAGAGCTCCACAAAGACAACACATACATAACTCAACTGGATCATTTGACAAAAAGGAACGTATTCATTCGCAATCTTTGAACTTTGGTGATCTTTGGGCAAGAACAAACAAAACTTATCGAAATCTCTGCAAAGACATGAATCATCAGGGACAGTGCGTTTGACCGCGTCGGGACATTATCCTCCACAAAAGGACAAAGGAGAGTGTAGGGTGAACGCAGCCACGCCCTGACCGCCGCAGACTTTCAGACGCACGTGGAGAACAACAGATTTATGGCCAAAGAAAAGTGATTTGTGTGTTTGCAGAAAGCAGAAGGTGAGAAGCGAGGAATTAGGAAGAACTTGTTTTGACATTTTGCAACAGAAAACTCATTTGGGTCAGGGGCAGAATAAAAGAATTAGGAACTGGTCAGGGCTGAAAGAATATGGGATTTTAGTGATTTCTTAAAATTTGTTTTTTTACATTAAGATATTTTGACATTACTTTAATGTGACATGAGTATTATATTCTGGTTGATTTTATTTATGTAAGTAGAAGTAAGTAATCTTTATTTATATACCGCCTTTCACAGACCAGAGTCACAAAGGTTTATAATTGTTTTATTTTTATTTTTTTGGGCGTTTGTTCTCTCACTCCACACAGAGATGGGAGCGGGTCAGTACAGGAGGCGCATGCCAGAACTATTGTACATGTTTTTAGTGGTAGGGGAAACCAGAGCACCCTGAGGAAACCTACGCAGACACAGGGAGAACATGCAAACTCCACTCAAAAAGGGAGCCAACCGGGATTCCAACCCAGGACCTTCTTGCTGAGAGGCGAGAGTGCTATCCACTCAGCCACCATGCCGCCCACTGGGGTAAAATTGTAGAATTAAATAAAATGTGGTTATTTTCCTGCAAAGAATAGATCATGTAAAACAGGTCTTGGTTGCCCTTTACTATCGACGCAGCAAGTTTATAATGACAATTAAAAATGATGTCAGGGGCCACTAAAAATTGTGTTGTGGGCCGGATTTGGCCCTCGAGCCTGAGTTTGAAATGCCTGTTTTACAACATAAGGACAAACCACAAGCATTAGTCATAGGATGAGATTTAGAACTGAAAATTGTCGCCTTAAGCAGTGTTTCTCAATCTGTGGGGTTGTTTTGGCGGAACTTGAAATAAAAAATATTGAGGTCGGTTGAGGTCAAGTTGTTGCAGCAGTATCTTGACCATATTTAAAGCTGGGGTACCTGATCTATTTGTTTAGTAAATTAAGTATATAATCTTTATTTACATAGCGCCTTTTAGTCACAAAGCGCTTTACAATTGTCGTTTTTGGGGCATTTGTCTCTCACTCCACACAGAGATGAGAGCGGGAGACGCATGCCAGACCTATTGTAAAGGTTTGTAGTGGTAGGGGAAACCAGAGCACCTGGAGGAAACCTACGCAGACACAGGGAGAACATGCAAACTCCACCACAAGCCCAACCACTGCGCCACTGTGATGACCATTTTGTTAATTCAAACAGAAAGAGTAAAAAGTTGTCATAATTTGCATACTTCGGGTTGTAAGAAAGAGCCCTGTGAATCACTATTTGACACTTTGGGGCTGCGAGCTGATTGGCTGAGTGAGGCTGGTCCTCTCTTTGTCACTTTTCTGTCTGAAGAAGCTGATCTACAGATGTGACAGAGGCCAAACATACATACCTGAGAGAACCAGACTGTTTTGAAAGCGAGAAACTAGTGGCAGTGCACGGTACTATTTTTGTGGTTGAAAGTTACATACCCCAGCTTTAAATAGTGCAACAATAAACTTTTACTGCTGTTTTGGAGATGTGGATTAGACGAGGCTTTGACGTGGCCGAGTTCTGGTTAGTGGTCATAATAAACAGGCTCTTGTGGTAAAAAGATAAGACAAACTTTATTGATCTCACAATGTCGGAATTTACAATGTTATAAATAATGTTTGATTTCGACAAGTTGCGACTCACTTTGTTTGTTGAGATTAGAAAAAGTATACGTTCTATGCTTATCTCAAAGCAATTACCAAAACTTCAGATAAGATGTGACTTTACTGATTTTTTTCTTCTTTTTATTCAACCTTTATATACCCAGAAAAGCGAGAAAAATGAGATTAAGAACCTCTTTTTCAATGGAGTCCTGGATGAAAGGTAAACGTGGCACCAAGCTGGAAGCAGTTTCGGTCCAAAATCACTCCATGTCAATTATAAAGCAGTAGATTACAAAGAAGACACAGACCTTTTCCAAGACACAAACTAGTTTCGATCCACACCATCAAGTAGGACTATAAACAGAGGATTACGCCTCGATAACTATCTCCCATCACAACTCCATCTAAACTTAGATATAAACAAGGACGAGATGTTACACTCCTTCCCAGCTATTTTAACACTCGCAAATTCAAGACCAATTTGACGTAGGTCACAAGCTAAGCAGAAATTGATGGGAAAACAAAAAAATCGCAAACGTAACACAGCAAACGTAATTGTTTGTTCAAAAATGTAATTATGGGACAATCTCGACCTTTTCTATTTCCCTAAATCTCAATCTAAATCTATTAAAATTCTCCACACTCGTTTACCCCAATGACAAAATAGTTTCAAAGCAAAATGGAAATTATAAAACTAGACTAAACTTGGGGAAGTCAACAGTTGAGATTAAAATTCTTCCTAAATCACTGATTTTTCATGCACGAATGCATAGATATAACCAGGTCCATTTTAAGGCCTGATAAATAGCAGTTCCCAAAGCGTCATACAAATCTCTTTAACACTATTACTCGCACAGCAGTCAAACTGACAGCTTTTAGTTTAGGAAGCGTATCACTCTGCATATGTACATTTTTGTCTTCATAACTTTGTCAAGTTTTCTGTGTCTAGTTCATAAAAACGTATAGTTTATTCTGCTTATGGTTTATTTGTATGTCATTCTGTTTTTTGTTCTGCCTTCCTCCCAGAGTCGTCATTTTGACTGCTCCATTTGATTCTATGGCAGTTAAACCCCCACTTTCTCCATTGGGTTTAGTTACCATAGCAACACACAATCCCATCGCTGCTTACTGACATATTCCAAGTTATATTAACCAGTTTTATCACTTATTAAAGTGAGAAAATATAAAAACCTCATAAATTACTTTTAGCAATAACACTAATTTGAAAGGGGGCCGTCAAAATAACTGCTCTGGGAGATCAAGTTCTAGTTTCATAATTCTGGGAGACCTATTGTCAGACAGTAGCCCCTTGGTCTACTGCAGGCATCATCTGAATCCTTGGATGTGGCCCCTCAGAGCGCGCTGAGGTCCTTTTTGGAGATTATATTTAGCTGGATGTAAATAGCCTGTGCCCCAAACGCAGCACTCGCCCCTGTAAAATAACCCCGCTATCACCGTGGCAGACACTTTTTTCGAGACGGCACCGGAATAAAAGTGATCCCCCAGAAATGCCTCCT